GTAAAGGAAAAATCAATCAAAAGTACCGAACTGTTCAAATGGGGGCTCTTAAAAGGAAACGAATCTAAGTCGCCATGACCATCAAGAAGAGATGAATACGCCTAGTGGTTTGGGAATACGTTTTGAGCTAGTCTCAAATCTACCTTCTATATCTGCTAAACCATTTCTGAACGAGGTTTTGAAGCAAAAGGAGACAGCGGTAGTGGTCGGGACCCAGAATCAAAACATTGCGGGATCGATCCCTTCACGTGTTTCCTGTTTTGCTTTTTCTCTGGAGTACAGCTAAAACGTCTGGGCAGTTCATGTAGCTGTATTCGCTCAAAAGCAATAACAGCAAACACGGTAGGGATCGATACTACGATGTCTTACTGTGAGTTCCGACCACTCGTTGTGGCCTTTTTCTTTGAAACTGTTCAGAAGTCGTTCTGCAAATTTGGAAAGTAGTTTTGAGATCAGCGTTCGAAGGCTCATCTAAGCCTATACATCTCTTTTTGAATAAACGATCGGTCCAGAATCCTCGTTAGAATCAAACAATACTGCAACCGAATAAGGGTCTAGAGTCTATGTACCACAAATGCGGGGGGGGGGAGTTGGGGGTGTTGTGGTGAAATAGTCTGTGCCGCTTACAATATTTTCTCACTTTTGCAATGAGAGGAAGCGCTGGGGTGTGTGAGTCATTTCGCTTTTGATTTCACACGCACCTCGGAGCTTCCGCCTCTTACGAAAGCGGGACGGGTGTAGGCGGCTTGAACTGTGCAACGCATGCCCCCTCCGGTAGCACATTGACTAGAGAAGTAAATGAATAATTATCTGAATAGATGAACTTACATTGATCCTTTTCGTTTTCTGACGTATGCTTGAGCAGCAAACACAATCAATGAGAAAATTTCGAGTAGGCTGACCACGGAGGCGCCAATCCACAATCCAGTCAAACCGCCCAGATCAGCAAGTACGCTCGTAAGCTGGATGAAAAGTGGTGCGGTTAGAGTGAATGTTAGTGAAGCGTCAAATTAATGAGTCTATTATGTATGCTATTCTCGCGAGATGTCAGGCTACGCTATTATTTATTTGATTTACATGGTTTCTTCGGGGGTATGTGAAAGAATGTTTCGGGTAATACGTCTCAGTTAACACGTATCTTTGGACAGGGACAGAGCTTTTCAAGGGTGCATAATTCAGGTTTAAGCGAGCTGTAGTTTTATTAGATTTGAAAACTCATCCTTGGTAACTTGAAGTTATAAAGGATAGACGGCGTCAGTGAACCCCTTTTAGGTGCGCCTCATATTTTAATCCCAGCTATATGTGATGGTATATGTGAATGTGATTTGCGTCCGAGCAACAACTTGTGGGAAGAGCCAGCTAAAAAGGTCAACTTCTATGATCCGAGCTGTTGTGCACACTTATTCGTTTGTAGTGGGGTGGTGGGTTGTGGCACCGGTCAAGATTCGATCCCCATCAACCCGGATTCATAGGCCTGGTAAGCGGAATCACGTATCACTACACCAGTTCGTCTGGCGAGGTGATGACGAGAGCCACGTCATGTGTCACCCAGCGATGAGTGATGCCACCAAGGAAATGTGGCTCGGGAGACAAGGAAGTTGCGAAAAAATCAAAGGTCAGCCGTACTGGAGACAAGAGGAGGAAGCATATGATATGCGGAGGGAAGGCTTCTAAATTTAAATCTATCATATGCTCAAGCAAGTACATTGCGGCACTGTTTACCCCAAGACAATGTAGATCATGAATAAGCTCGTGAATGACGTTTTCGAGAGCATCGCTATTCGAGTATGTCGTCTGTACATTTAAAGCATTAGCCCCAGATGAGGTCGTGTCGAAGAATCTATTCTGTGGGTGGGATAGAGTAGCCCACGAGTATCACAAATGTGCCATTGTCGCGGCTCGAAAGTGCGCGACAATGGCGCTAGGGCCTTACAAAGTGATCTGATGGCGACTAATGTGAACTTATGGACGAGATACCTCGCGCACACCCATGATACGCAGCGTGGATTACGACGTAGCGGCTAATTCAAATACACGCGGGTTAGTGGAGCCGTGGAGCAGGCAAGTTCGCACAACTCGCCGGCCATGGAGCTTGACCAGGAATTGTTTTTGATAGAAAGTATGTGAACCCACATTTTCACTTGTGACATGTAAATCTCTGGTTTTGCTCGGCACTTTACGCTACTAAAGCAACGTGCTTTACGACACCAACTGTTGTCGGAATCATTGGCGTGGATCAAAAAAATGACATGCTTTCCAGTTTCGAATTTTCGTTGATCTTAGTGCAATTTTACACTGTTTTCATTGCTTTGACGAGGTATTTATGTTGGCCCACCGACTTACGGGGAAAATAAGGCCTAAAGTTGATGTAGGCACCCATCTTAGATCATTGGTTTCAGCCAAACTCACGGTCATTTGTTATATTTACCTGTACGTTTTACGTTAACACAAGAACTTTCCGAAAGCAACGAAATCTAGTAAAAAACTTGCACTTTATTGAATGAAATTTCGGAACATGAAAACAAGCATTTCCACACCAGTGATTTCGAAAACAGTTCGTGCTCTAACGTTGTGCTTCAATTGAGTTGAGCAGCTTATCAAACCAGAAGTCCAAATTCCTACACGAAAACACCAGCTCAATGTGAGCCCTTAATGGAAAAGTTACATCAGCTAAGATGGGAGCAGGTATAGTGACACACATGTGGAACTGATTGAGCGATTCTTAATACCGAATTTCTGCCCCCTTCGAAGAAGTCCAATTCTAAGGGTCCTGATTATATCCTGCAGAGTCAACCCTGCGTTGCGCAGTTTTCAACGGCCACGTTGCGCAGTTTCGCCCGATTAGACACGTTCTCTCGCGCGAACATTCACACTCGCATGCTCGAGCCGTCTGTGTCTCCGCCCATACAGCGTGCGTTGAGGATCTCTCAACGTGCCGTTGCGAACTGCGCAACGCAGGGTTGACTCTGCTTTGACCTGACTTGTGGGGAGTGTTAATCAAGATGTGGGTTGTGGCTCCTACCAGTAAAACCTGCATCGAGTTTTCCGAACAATGGACATCAATTATGTTTCAATCGTCCCTGCAGCGAGTTGGAGTAATCTGGTGGGTTCTGTTCGCTCGAGCGACACATGTACTCTCAGAGATTTCACGACAGTCTGGCTGTCGCCCAGGTGTTCGTTTAACATCGCGTGGGGTCCAGTTGCTCTGGTTCAGCCGTCATCACCGAATCATATGACGTACCCGCACCACCTGGCCTCTAGTACTTTGAGGAATGCGAATGCGTTGCAGTGGAGAGTTCCGGATTCACTCCTCCACTGAGTGTAATGGTAAATTCTAAGCGCGGTTTTTTCAAAGAACTTGATATGCCTATCCATTTTAACCATGCCTGCATAGAGCCCATGTCTCTGAGATTTGCATTAGAGTAGGAGGGAATGCTTAATTTTAGGGGTGGTTGTAAAAGTGGGTATTTTTCGTCTTCTTTACTAATCTCTCAATATTCTCGAATCCCGAGCCGCTCGCTCTGTCCTCTGTCTGCACGTTCATCATCTCATTTAGCTGCAAAATGAACCGCATTACTCCAATTGTACGAAAATCGATTTGCGAGCAGGACGTTGTCTTTGACTTGGAATACGGTGGGATTGGCCATTGGTCTCAATAGAATCGTCACCCTAGGAGAATGCAAGAATTCTGTGAAAGAAGCTTGGTGATAGAAGCAGAACCAAGAGAAACCAATCGTCACACAAGCTGATGCGACAAGTTTCCGAAGCGGGTCTTACACAATATTATATGGTTAATGGTCAGTGATATTGAACCACTTTAGGCTGCGCCACGCAGTTGACGTGTTCATTAGTTCTGGTTAGTGATAGTTGCTCAGCGAAAGTTTACAATAGAATTAAAGTGATTTGTTGAGCGCTGTTATGTGAGCTCAGCGACTGAAAGCTTTCTAGCATGAAACTAAAATGCTGTATGTTTAATTGAATTAATTTAAAAGCGCAAACTGCAAGCGAAAAATCAGCAACAGTCAAGAAACTTACTGTGTATGCAGGTGTTTCTTGGAGCGTTTCATAGTTCAGTTCTTCATAGAAGATTTGGATCATTGCAGCATTTTTGCGATATTTCTCAAGGCACATAAAATCTCCAGGCACACAATCCATCACTTTTGCTGAACCAGATGGCCATCTGGCTGCCGAGTAGGTCACTTCATAGTTAGTTTCCCTGAAAATGACGGTTTTATGATTTTACTTGGCTCCTCCCAGAGGTGGTTGATTGACAGCTCGGATTCTGCTAGGTTCCAGTCTTGGTGGGAGTGTCACAGTAATTATTTTCTGTTTAATATGAGAGGGGCTCTCCCTCAATCTGCTGACTCCCTTAAAACCGAATTTTCTGTACAATATGCTTGAAAAGTTCAGTGCGGGGCGAATCCCTTACTGGCGTGCTTTTATTTCTGTTCTTAATCACCTTTGGAAGCAGAGTTCACGTTGAAAAGACTACCCCAATCGTTGAACAGCTCACTAATAATCAAGGTAGAAGTGGTTAGTGATGCCGGTATGAAGAAAGAAAACCAAGAAAAACGGTCTAAAAAGCATAGCGAGGGGACTGGGAAATGTGATCCCTTATGAGCGCGTTAGGCGTGTCTCATCGGTGCTCACCTTCAAGGTTAACGTCCTCTGCTGAAGTGGCTAGAGTCAGACGGGGGGGGGGGCAGCGGCATGGGTATTGCCCTGCTAGTCTGCTTGGGGCATACCCTCAGTGCGGAATACGCATCGTTCCGCACCCCTTAGGGGCCCTCCTGCTTTTTCCTTTGGGTGTCTTTCCCCTTCTTTGATCCGCCGACCTTATCGTGAAAATACTGTTCAGAAGGATAGTAACATGATAGGATGCTCGTGTTGACCACTTCCCAGAATTAGGCTCTAGAGTAGGGAAGGTACTCATGTGAACTATATGAAGACTTATCAGGGCTAGATGGTGATCGCTTCT